TGAATTATGAAGCATGATTTATTTGTGATGGTTTATGGAATGGAAAATTATCTTTTGGCGTGTTTGTATGAACCACACTTTTATTTATGGCATGTTGAAATGCATATTTAATTAAACTACATGTTTAATTTGACTTGGAATATTGAAAAGGAATTTTATTATGGTTCATATAATTTTTATTGATGCTATAAGCATGGGAAAGGAGCTATATAAGTGTATATGTACACGAAGAATAAATTATATTTTGGTGCCTTAGTGCACTTAAGGTGTTTTTAACACCGAGGGATAGTATTTGTGGCGCTTTATGCGTTTAAGTTGTCTTTGACACTGAGGTAGATTTTAAAAAGGGTTCAATATTAAATATTATGTGGTCACTAATTATACAAGAATTAAATTAGTATGTTTGATTGAATAATTATTGTTGATTGAATTATTATGTTTTGAGAGTCATCACCAAATCTAATAATATGTAAATAACGTAAAGTGAAAGATATTACGCACCAAAACTCTTGGAACGTATATACCTTGAGTATGAACATATGGGGGGAGTTATGTGACTTTATATTTGATCATAACTTCTAATGGAGTACAGGACGCTGTACATTCCTTTTTATTATTATTATGCGCTGGAATTCCGCCACCTATGTGTGGTTTTGTGCTGGCACGGTTAGCTCCCGTGTCAGTTAACCTCAATTTATTTGGGGGAGGTAGAGTTGGAAACTCGTTCGATGCATGATCAACGCTAAATAAATTATTTAGTGTCTAGTTGAAGAGTCATGTTGAATGTTGTGTGTGTTTGTTAGCAGGTGCATTAAGGTAAGTGTGTGTTGATAGGTGAAAGCATGTTAGTGTGTTAAATTACGCTTATATACTCAACTTAGCTGATTGTGTGTGTGTTTGTGTGTTTTGGCCATGTCTTTATCTTGGCCCTATGATGACCTATTTTTAATGGAGAGTAGTGGAAACAAATAGAGATAAGTTTTTCAGGTATTGAAGCATATCATGACAGGGCATGAGTGAAGAGCGAATCATGCTAGTTTTCATTAGTTACGATGTGTTTTATGCTTTAATTATATGAGATTATTTATATGTGGAATTAACATCAAGTTTTGGGTTTCGGTTTGGTTTTAATAAGGGCCTTTAATGGTTTCAAGTTGTAGGTTGATTTTTATTTGACTTTGTTTGCTTTTGGTTTTAACTTTACTTTTGTTTGGTTGACTTTTGAGTTGACTTGTTTTGAACAGTTTTTGATTTTAGTCTTCCGCTATGTATCTTTGATAATTGCCTTAGCCGTTTTCACGGTGGCGATAATATCTTAGATATTCCTAAATCATATTTTAAAGAATAATATAGGTATTTAAAGGAAAGGAATTTCTAGGGTGTTACAATTGGACCTGCACTTATCAGAACTTAATAGACCTTACTGGACATATAGACTTAATTGAACTTATTAAAACTTTTTGAATCTTGTTATTAGACCTATTTCTCCGGTTGGATTAAAAAAAAGGAAAATTGAAATTTCCTTGATTAGAACTTATTAGATCTTGTTTTGACTTATTGGAACTTATTGACTTTATTAGATCTTATAAGCTTATAGTAACTTATATGTACTAATATGAACTTATTTAAAGTCATTAGCTTAGACCTTAAACTTATTTTTATAAGGTGAAGTTGTTAAGAGAACAAGCTCGAACTAATTTGAATTTCTGACTAATTAATCAATGATAGTGATTATATATATGAAACAATAATATTATAATAACTCTCAGCAATAATAACAGTGATGTTACAGAGTAACACATAAATTTATATTTTTTTTATTAAAAACAATAGTAATTATAACAATAACAATAATAAATTTAACTATTTGAGCTTGATGCCCTAACTCAAAGTTTCGACCCAAATATGACCAGACCATAACTTGACTCGACAACTGTATCCGAAGATTGACCGAACATTTGGACCAGAAGATTGACCCGATCCGAAATAACCCAACCCGAAGTGTTGACCTAATACCCAACCCGACCCGAATAATCATTGACCTGAACCTGACTCGAAATCTGAATTGTCCCGACTTAACTTGAAATTCGAATTGATCCGACCCGACCTGAAACCGATTGACACAAAACCGACCCGACCCGAACAACCTGTTTGCCAGGTCTACTTCCACTTGAGTTTGTGCTCTCTTTTATCAATAGCTTGTACTTGGCTCAATACAAGAATCCAACTTAACTAGCTCTGGATTTGAATCCGAAAGCCGGAGTCTTAGCTCACCTATTCAATCGGGCCTAAATTTTTTTTTTTTTCTTTTTTTTGGGAAGGGATCGGGCCTAAATCTAGATATACTATGAAATGCCAAACAACAGCACTGAATAAATCATTATCTCAATTTTGATTAAAGTTAGTTGAATGGAATCTGAATGAGTTAGCCCTACTATAATGCTAGTCATTTATCTCAAAATCAGTAAATGAATGCATTAAACCCACATGCATGCATCGGCGTGCCTTTTGGTGGAGGAAAAATGGAAAGCACAAGGAATACTAATGTTGGATAGTCAGACATTGGACCTACTCTTTTTCTTTGTGACGCTTCCATGTGTAATTCAACACGTGTGAAACTTCCCCATATTTTTGCCTTTTTCTTCAAGTATATATTGGGACGATGTCATTTTTAGCAAACTACAACTAGGATGGCGTAGGACTTTGTTTCCAGCCCAAATGACACACAATAGCTCTGACTCAACAATCGATGGATAGATGTGATATCATATGCATTTTAACAACTTTGAAAACGGTGAATCGATAATTTCAACTAGTAGGGTAGTACAAAGTGAAATAAATAAATAAAACAATCTTATTTATTATCTCCGTTAAATGGTATGTGCTATTTTGAGATATTATTTGTGAGATACAAAATATTTCATAGTTAAACATAACATCTGATGAAGGTAGTATAATAATTCATTAATAATAATTTTTACAACGGGTGTGACTTGTGATCGAGTACAACTGCAGGCGCGTGCAACATCTTGGTACGGGCACAGACCCGAATCCAAATATTGAAATGGTAGTGAAATTGGGGAGCTACAAAGCACGCACAATAGCAGGAGCTGTGCGCGGCAACAAAGGCTTGCGCTGGCATAGGGGTCATGCTATATATGCAATACACATGATAATATGTAGTTTGTTGTTGCAGGGTATTACATTATATGACTTAGTTTAAGGAAGCCATCGTATATCACCTTGATTAAAATAAAAAAATTTAAAAAAAAAAAAAGATGGCAAAATTGTTTATGAATCAATAAAAGTATTCATTTAGATATTTAGTATGACATTTTTGTACTTATGTCAATAATTACGAGACTTATTATATCTATTAAAAGTTATTGATTCATTTAATCACCTCTCAAAAATTTATTTTGATGATCTAATCCCTACTTTATACTTTCTCAGTTTTTTTAATACTTGCAACACTTCTTCTTTGACTACACGCGCTTATCGTAAACATTATTATTTTTCCTCGTATTATCTTAGTTACCCTCGGTTAATAAAATGTCTCAATTTGCGTGTCAGTATATATCGGTGGGGTTACTTCATGGTTAAGGCAGAAGCAAGTGTAATAAAAATAGTAGAGTAAATAGAGAGAGGTGCATAGAAGGAGACTGGTACATTGGCTGGATGAACCAAAGGCAGAGTTGGTGAGTTGCTGTTAGGTGTCAAATGTCAACTGTGTGCTACCTCCATGTGTAGGCGTCCCCTTGGCTTTCTTAGGTGTGCGTTTTTCTGGTCTTTTCCCATTCGCTTGATTGCTATGGTTGGTTTTCATACACGTTTGCCTACTTCTTCGAGATTCCTTTTTAATTATATTTTTTTTCAAAATAATCTTTTATACTACTCCGTTTTTACTAGTTGACACGTTTTAATTTTATATTATTTATACATTTTTTTTTGACCGTTTTATGATTTATGTAGGATTACGTCACGATATATATTTTCAAAATATCAACCTTTTATAATTATTGTTTATCGATAATTAGATATATAAACGGTTGAAAATGTATATTGACAAATATAATTAAAGAAACATGTAAACTAAAAATAACAGAAGAAGTATATTTTAACAAAATTTAGATCTTTTTACTATAAAGTGGCAAGCTACTGCTTTGGTTAAAATAATTAAATTGGGTTATATTCAACTGATTTTAATAGTAAATGTGGGCAAAGGTTGAGTTATGTAGACTATGTAATGATATTATTAATTTATGATATGCTGCGTTAGTGTGCCTACTACATACTCAAATGGATGTGTTTCGAAAATACCGTGTTAAGTTCGTGTGGTTTTTTTTAAGCATAGCCCCCGTGCATGACTTGATGCATTTGTACTGTCATGTCATTTTTGTGTAGTGTTGTTCTAGTAAATCTCCTTCTTTTTATGTACTTAGTAAATTGGTTAAAACAAAAAGGCAACTCGATATATAGAGAAACCCATTGTGTTTGTGTCAAACCAGAATATGTCAACTTTTGAACATTACGTCCATGCACATCACAATATCCACTGGTGTGCCTCAATCTCATGCCATAATGAGGCTAAGTTGTAGCGATCGAGCTCATGTCAGATCAAACCATTTTCATGTCATGCTTAACTAACCCTTATATGTGAGTCAAGATGATAAGATAAAATTTATAACATAGCATTAACCATCATTTATAGCAATTTATAATTTGATACAAACCTAAAATTTTATGTTATTAATACATAACTTTAACCATCAATTATAATTAAATAGGATAAATGTTAAAGTGTTACAAATATATAATAAGAACGGAATAACCGAAAAATACACCGTCTTATCTAAGACTATATTTTCTAGGACGGACCCAAGGCCTAACTATACAAATAGTACAATGGATGGATAGAAATAAACCTATATATAATATTATATAGATTCCTCCGCCGTGTCGAAAACATACTCCCTCGTTGAGGAGTCATTTGGTCACTTGAACCCACCTAATTTGATTATATCATAACATATAGTTTTATTTCATATTATTCCCATTTATATATCATAGTCTGTCCTTGAGGCATCAGCATGCAACTCATTTTTGTGGTCGTGAGTTTGTCACCCGTCACCCCTTAAAACTTTATAATAAAATTAAATCCGAATACTTTAAATAGCAACCTCAACCTCATCACATCTTATTTTTATTTTTATACTTTATGTTATAAATTTTCTCTTATCATCTCTTTTCAGTTTTCACTCACAAATTATATTTTTCCCTCAAAACATGCCAAGTGGCTCACCGTTACCAAACAACACCAACGCTAATTACTCCTTTGAGGAGTTCCTCCGCGGTTGGTGCCACCGCTTGGACCGCCTCTCCGCCGAGATCACCGCCGCTGTCGATACGAAGGATGGCAAAGCGAGCCAGATTGAGGACATGGATGCTAGGCTACTAATAGCGCGAGCTCTCGGTCATTTTGAGGAGTACTATGAGCACAAGTCTCGTGCTGCTCATCTCAATGGATTTGCTCTTTTCTCCCCTAATTTTTGTTCGTCATTTGAATGTGCTTTTCTTTGGGTTGCCGGGTTTCGGCCTCGGGTTCTTTTGCACCTCGTCTCCAACTCCGTTCACGATTTGTCAGCTCAGCAGACTCAAGCGCTTGACAGGTACATACATACTTCCTCCGTTCTTTTTTAATTATCTGGTGACGTGTTCAATGTACTTATATCTATTTATGGTTGACACATGTACCCATGCGCAATTAAATGCATACAGGCACGTGTGTTGAGACTGTGCTGATTTATCGTAGGCCGTGCTGGCTGGTGCAAACTATACCTTCTCTAGGTAGAAAGAAATTGTGAAAAATGGCTATTGAGCAAGAGTGCAAGTGGGATGTTCTCCACACGTGTGTCTAGATATTTATTGTTCTTTCCTTTTGTTGATTTGTTTAATTATTAGGACTAAAGTAGTCAAGATGTAGACTTTTCTAGGCTAAAAGATTTTTACTATACACAAAGGCTTCAAATATAGATATTTGGGCTAATAATTAGTTAAGGTATGGATCGGTTAAGATATTAAAATAAAAAATTTAATATCTGAGATGAAATTTTATTTATATTATTATTGCCCTTTTAAAAATATAATGTATATGAATATTCCAAAATGGAAACTTTTATACCAAGAAAAATGTACATTTTTTTTTTAATAATTTAGAATAGGTGGAGAGTAATTTCAAAATAAATATTTTTTTTTGAAGAGAAATTTCAAAATAATTTAATAATGTACATTTTTTAATAATTTAATAATTTCAAAATAATTTAGAATAGGTGGAGAGAGTAAATGAGATGACCCAATAAATGGAATATTTGGATGGTAAGTATTGATTAAAAGGGTAGTGGGTAGTTGCATCATTTGCATGTAAACATATATAGTCAGTGAGGGTAAAGTGACAGTGTAACACTGAGAACTTGTTTTGAAATTATTTGCAATGTGACAATATGTGCTATAGTGGTCTGCCAAACCATACTTCCGATTTTTCTTTCTTTCTATTTTTAATTTTTTTTTAGCTACAAACATTTTAGGGTAAACTTTTACAATTTTTGACTTTGTATTGATGGATTGCCGGCTTATTTTTACATCTAAAATTCTATATGAGTGCTATTTGATAATGTGTTAAAGGACTAATACTATACTAGATATGTTATCCCTAACAAAAAATTTAGAGTGATATAAGGACTTGTTAGTATCTTTTCATCGTATTTATCGACATAGTAAGAAGATGCCGTTTAAAGAATCAATGTAAATGAAAACATGTGTCAATGTTACACAGCGAGAAACGTGTTTTTTAGTTTATTTGACTAGAAGGTTAGGCCAAGATTGTATTTTATATGCTAGTATGCTGCAAGATACAACCTTTCTTAACTCATTCCACTATAATAAAACATGCATGTAGCTCAATGAAAAAAACTTAATTTAATTCTCATCCAATTTCATTATAATGTGTTAGAAGTCATATATGAATACCCATTTTTACTCTTACTCATTCTTTTCTTATAATCTCTTATACTAGTAACGTCCACCAAATTTGCATATTACCATTTCTTTCCAATCTCAACATTCACTGCTTAATCTTTCACTTTCCTCGATCTAGTGTTGGGTCTTCAACTTGAATGCATGACCATTGCCTTCTAACAACTTCATTGAATCACAACATCAAAGTATCAAACATAATTGTTTTCGAAATTTAAAGTGTGGAAATGAGCAACCTATTCACTTATAAAATTGCACATGAAAATTTGGAAGTTATGTTTCTATTGGATGAATTAATTTGTTGTTACAATCAAATCACAAGTCTAGTGTGAATATGTAATTATTGTGCATTGTTTTTATACTATCCAATTTTATTTTATATATTTGTATTGTGTTACTCGTATTTTATTGGTTATTTGCTGAAATTTTTGAGCAAATGAGCTAATTTATAAAGAGAGGTTTATTTTAAATTTTCCAAGATTTTCAATTTCTTTTACCTCTGATTTTTGAATATTTGTGCAAATGAGAAAATATTAAAGAGCCGAATTTTAAAATCCCAATGTTTTCTCTTTCCTTTTGCACTCTAATTATCCCAAAGTAAATTTGTCAATGTTTATAAAATCATTTTCCTTAATTAGAATGGAATAGGGAGGGGTGATTTAATTAATTAAGGAGTAATAGTGATTTGGCACTTACAATTCCTTAAGAGATCTAAATTCTCAATACAAGTATTTAACACCTCTAAACTAATGGCATCGCTTTTGAACTGTTCCTGAATAATTTTAGATGTCTTTGCATTGTCCTTGGAGGAGCTCCATTGTTGTATAGTCGCGAAAGTGATAAAATTTGATTGGTCATCAAGATAAAAAAATTTGCAAGACGAATCTTCTAAATCTACACCCCTAAACCAACTGACCCACAATTCTACAAAATTGTAAAACGAATCTTCCAAACTTGTATCCCTGGACACACAAAAAACAAACAAACGAACAATACTAATATAGTAACTGACTATAATGACCATATTGTTGGTGATCTTTATTGGCTAAAAGCATCAAATTAATAAAGAATTTGGGGCTTACTATTGATAAAAATCAATGGCAGCCCTAAGTTTTACTATGGTGGCTTGGTTTGAAGTAGCTTGGCCTGGCATAGACGAGAGGTGCGACGACTTAGGGCCCTGGTAGGGGCCATAAATCTCAGATTTTAGTGTTCTATATTTAACAAAATTAACTTTAGTATTTCATACAACTTAATATATATTAACTTTTATATATATATATATATATATATATATATATATTTGAGGGTATGTGTTGGAATTTTCTTAATGAATAAATTATTATTTTTCAATCATTATAATTCATACGTATTGTTGATTAAAGATATTATAGTCAAAGATTTGTATTGGTATATGTGCCCAAAAAAATACTACTTCTAATTTGTATTATATACAACTTTGTTGAACTCCGTATTATTTATGACATATAAAAAATTCAGAAATTGCATATATTATGAACCAGATCAGAGGTAGTAGAACACTTATTAAAAAGAATGGAGAAACTATTATACTAAACTGCCAATTATTTTATCATGAAAGGCCCTAATATCTTACTTTTCCTAGAGCCCATAAAATGTCAATAACGGCCCTGGTACTACTTTGAAGAGAGAAAATAGGTTTTTTTTTTTTTTTTTTTTATTTGATATAAAATCATTTTCCTTGATTTAATAAATTGAGCAAACATGTGAAAATTAGATTTGATCTGAAGGACCAAATATATTTTATTACTCTTCTTAAAGTAGACATCAATGTGATACTTCATGTTTTCTTTTGCAAAAGATAAAAATCAATATATTGTGAACGCTATCGTAAATAAATCTATAATAATAAATAAACTAAAATAACAACCGCTGACATTATTCAAATTGCACACATGTCAAGTTGTGGTTAAAATTTTTTCCGCCTAAATTAGTTGCTGATATTATATATTTATTTTTATTTTTTACCTCTTTTCATGAAGAAATTGTTATTTTTTACCTTAAATTATTACAATAGTTTTTTTTTTTTTTTAAAAAAAAATTATTATATTATATTCCGTATGCTATATTATGATGAATTTATGAGTTAGTATTTGACTTCAAAATATAATTACTCTCGATTAAAGAGTATTTCGTATTGCATAATTTACTTAAATTTATACTCTTCTTCAAAATTAGTTAGATCTAAGTAGTATTACAATAATTGATTATGTTTTTATAATTTATCTCATATGAGGGACATATGTAAAATAAATATTTATTTAAAAAAAAAATTATGACTTGTATCACACGAGGCTTATCTAGTAAATAAAAAAATAAATAAATATCTAAGAAAGGATTGGGTCATGTATAAAACGTATTGCAAATTCTATGTAATGACCCGGACATATTGGCTTTAGCCAAAATACTAGTTCAAGACTAAAAATGTGTATGTGTTTGTTGTGAATTTGGTATCCTAATGGATTGTAAATTTCTTTCTATTGTAGTAGATCAAATAATTGAAATTGTTTTTGGAGAGAAAATTGAGAGTGAGTTTTTTTTCTTCACATCAGTAACATTTCATATAATTAATCCTCCCACATTGAATGAATGGTATAATTGATTTAAGTTCTGTTTGAAATTGTTTTTTATTTTTAAATTTGCATAGTTGAGTTTAAGTTTAGTGAGAGAGTGGCGTATTTTCTCCGTTTTTTAACACTTGCAACACACACTTTTTCGTAGTATCTTTTTTTTTTTTGACACACTTTTTCATAGTATCTAAATAAAATAGGTTTCACGTTATTTAACACATTAAAAACGAAGTTTAGAGAATCTTATGTATATACTTAAGTAAGCCATAAGTTTTAACTAAGGGCAACAGTACCACGTTTATATTAAAACTTTTCGATTATACTTTCTTGTAAATATTACTACCTCTGTTCTTTTTTACTTGACCTGTTTCTTTTATCACGCTTGCCAATGCAAAACTTTAACGGTTAATAACTTTAATTCTCCATAATTAAAAAATATAAAAGTTATATATTATGATAATATTTATTGAGACGAATTCAAAATGATCCAACATAAATATGTTTTTCTTTACATATTATTCACAAAACACAGTCAAAGGAGAGATGGTGAATAGTGTAAAAGTCAAAGCGGGTCAAATAAAAAAGAACGGAGGAAGTATGATATTTTCATATTATAAAAGAGTTACAAGTATTTTTTTTAAAAAAGGGAGGAAGTCTGAGTTATTACGAAAATGTCAAAATTACAAAAATACAACTTACAAAAATGTCTACCTTGCAAGGTACAATGACAATGCATAAGTTAAGATGATTTTACCAATGCTTTTGGCAGACTCTGAAAAAAAAAACCCCCTTTAAAGTTAAAGCTAAAGCTGTCTTTCTATTTCCTCTCTTTGTACTTTGTATTAATTAATCTATTTATTAGTTAACATAAATGTTGATAAGTATTAGGTGACTCGTACTTCGTAGCTTTGTCCGCCCGATCGGGCGGACATTGCCCGGTCTGACCGGGCGGTGGGGGTTGGATACGTTGAAGCATTCGTATGGAGTTTTCTTCTCGCGCCCGATCGGGCAGACCTTGCCCGGTCTGA